GTGGGCTTGGTAGCTCAACAGGTAGAGCGGCAGACCAGTATCCGAAGGTGCGAGTTCAAATCTCGTCCAAGTCACATGTTTTTCATGTGCATATTAAAACTGTGTTAGGATTAATATAGACAAAGTCTCTGTTTCATAATTTAATGATACCATTCTATTGTGTTGTTCAAAAAATATGTCGGAAATGCGAGAAAATTCCTTTCCACAAAATTTTGAGTATTTTCTACTGGATATGGATTATTACATGTTTGTAAATGTAGATTATTACATGTTTGTAAATGTGGATATGGATTATATTACTAATTATCAATTGATCCGTTGATTGCTGTAGTTATTGTCAATTTCTATTTCATTGTAATAATGATGATGTAACATCACGATTTGTTCAGTTTATGTTAGAACAAAGAAATTCTGTTTGGATTGCACATAATGGTGCTACAATTGACACAATATTTTTAATAAAATACTTATTGAAAGGAAAAAATCTAATTCCCAAAACTTTCATCAATGGAAATAAAATTTATTTTCAAAATAAAAGAAATTAATCAACAAATTATTGATAGCTATTCGTTTTTGCCAATGAAATTAGCAAACTTTCCAAAATCACTCGAAATTGACAATATTGTAAAAGGATATCATTCATATATAATTTTTTTGAATTAACATATAAAGGAAATATGATTGATAAAAAGTACTTTGATATTTTAGAAAGTTAAACAAATAATTTTGACACATGGCATAACAAACAATGTGTAAAAGAATACATATTTCGAGATGCAATTTAATATTATTGTAGTAAATGATGTTAATATATTAAGACTTGGATGTATAAAATTTTCCAATTTAATCTACAACATCACAAACATTTCACCTTTTTACGATACATCATGCATAACAATTGCTGGTTTAACATCAAAAATATTCAGAAGTAATTATATTTACAAGATGATAAAATTACACAAATGCCATCATTTGGGTACAGGGGTAACACCATGCAAAGTTAAATAGCATTATGTTGGTTTAGCAAAGTTAAATCAGAATTGAATGAAATGGATTACACTTTAGAATACAAATTATCCATTAATGGAGAAAGAAAAATTTTAGGTAGATTTGTTGATGGATATTATGAAGAAAACAATAATGTATATTAATTTCACAGATGTTTTTTTCATGGTTGTAATAAATGTTTTAATAATGATGATTATAATACACTGAAAAAAGTAAAAATGTATTTTTTTAGAATGCAAACAAAACAATTTTCAAAACAATTAATTGATAAAAATTATAACGTAGTCGTAATGTGGGAATGTGAATATTCAAAGACAAAATATAACTGAAAAAATAGGAAAAGGAATTTTTAATGTGCTACCGTTACATCCACATGACGCATTATTTGGTGATAGCTCATCACCTTTATGTTTATATTATGAAGTGAAAGAAAATGAAAAGATTAAATATATTGACTTTACATCATTATACCCAAATATTAAAAAAAAATATGAATATCCTCTTAATCATCCTGAAATACATTTAGGGGAAGAATGGCTAAATATTGATGTTGCTAGTATGTTTGAATTATTTAAATGCTGAATATTACCACCTAGTACACTTCTGTTTCCAGTTTACTCTTACGCATTGATAATAAATTGATATTTACATTGTGTTACACTTGTGCTATGGAAAAAAAATCAAAAATTTAATCATAATGATGACAAGAGAGCACTAAGGGGTACATGGACTAGTGTTGAGATAAATAAAGGTATTGAATGTGGTTATAGAATAATTAAAATATATGAAATTTATCGCTATAAAAATGAGGGTAAAATTTTTGGTCAATTTGTAAATAATTTTATAAAAATGAAACAAGAAAATAGTGGTATTCCTTCAGAATGTTATAATGAGGATGAAACTGTTAATGAAGATAAACTAAATGATTTTATAATAGATTATTACAAACACGAAGGAGTTCAATTAGATAGAAATAATATTAGAAAAAATATATGTATTTGTACAATTGTTAAAATGATTTTAAATTCATAATGGGGAAAGTTTCCACAAAGTGATAATACAGTTACAGTATCATTTATTAATAACTTATATGATTTACTGTATTTAGCAAACAATCATACTAATGAACTAATTTCTTTAAATATAATGTCTTCGGATATTTTAAGAACAACAAATGAATTTCTGTCACATGCCTATTGACGGGGATGATGTTTTTGCATTGATCCAATATTTCTTAAATAAACATTATGAAGCGTTTTCCTTATACTTCACCTTACGGCTGAACTATGTGTTACGTTTTATTAGGCAACTCAATCTTAGGCGAATACGCAATTCAAAAACAAAATCTAATTATATCACAAAATAAGAAATCTGGGATCAAGCCAAAAACATCATCCTCGTCAAAAGGCATCCGACAGAATTTCAGGAAGTTCGCACGTGATCTACTTGTTATTTTTTGAGCTGTTTTTTTTAATTAAGATCCTAAATGTGTTATGGAAGATTTTCCCTTACGGACTAAGCTAATGTTATCATTTTCGATTAATACTAAAATACAATGTGTTTCGTTACGATACTGCAATCAAGATACTTATGAAGTTTATGAAGCGGGATTTATTGAGCAGAAAAGCAACGACACTTCGTAATAACGCCGATATTAACAGAATGTCCGTGTACGAAATATCTAAGATAAAAGACATTGCACTGCATCCAAACTTGAGAAAACTGGGGTTGAAATCTTATTCAGTGATCATGGAAATGTACAAGATTTGCCGAATACTTTCAAGATTCGGTGATAAAAAGCACACAAGACGGCAAAATATGGCTCAAAGCGGATTAACGAGGAAGGTATGCGAAATATATTCTATCGTATGCCAGCAGAAACAATGTGAAATGCTTAAAATAACAAATTTTTGGAGAGTGAGTTGAGTGTGGTTTTTCATCCTATATGATTTTTTCTTTGAAAGTATGAAAATTCAATCTCTGCCAAGAATATTCGTTAATTTATGCAAAATTGGCATTTGACAGCACAACTAACAAGAAAATCTTGTCAAAATGAAAGACGAGACACATGGACTTCCTATCCAGGAGTTTGTAGGACTACGACCTAAAATGTACTCAATCCTTTATTCAGAAAACGACAAGGAAATGGAGAAAAAAAAACGCAAAACGAATAAACAAAGCGGTCACAAAACGAAAGCTTCGGTATGCAAACTATAAGGAATGCTTGCTTGAAAAGAAATAGACAATTGCTGGTATGAATCAAATTCAAAGTGAAAACCATATCATATATTCGATAAGAATAAATAAGATTGGTCTTAACCCTATGATGACAAACGTTACATTTTTAACGATGGAATGAACACGCTGGCATAAGGTCATTACAACATAAAGCAATTTAGAAATGAATTTGAAAACATAATATAAATAGGCTGATATTGTGTAATTAAATTCACCGATTCGAAACATGACTGTTACTTTGTATACTGCATGTTTGTTTAGTTAATTCTTCTTTCTTGTTGTAACGCGTGAGAACTTGAAACGCGATGAAATAGCGAGTACTGCCACTGACGTTAAAGAAAGCTCGACTTATGTTTTGCAGTAAGTACCGTTGGTATAAATAGATGAAAATAGTTAATTCTAACACAATTAAATATCATACGCCATACGGTAAATCTAAAGCAATTACTTCGACATCGAGATGTATTGTTGCAACTGTGGCAATAATGTGGCTTAAAATGCAATCTTTTGTGATCAATGTGGTCAAGGTATTTTATCATCTGTTTTAGGAATGATATTATTAACAAAATATTGTTTGTTTGGTTTATACTTTTTATACTTTATCCTAATTATTGATGCACGAATTTCTTAGTTAATTAGTGCTAAGTCAATTATAGACGTTGCTGATTTGGGTAAATACTACGAGTTGTCAATTGTCACACTCAAATCTTTGTTAAAATACATACTAATGAGGCTTCTATAAATGATTTGAGACATAAAAGTGAGTTTATGAACTTTAACAAGTTATAAGAATGCAGGAAATTATTTTCTTGAATACAGATTCGAAGAAAGTTTTGAGATTAATTATTGCTTTTATTCACTATATTACAAATAAGTAAATATTCTTCTTGTTTGTCAGAACTTATTCATCAGAAAGCTCGATAATAAAACAACGAAATTAAATCTTTTATTAGTAAAAAAAGCTTGTACATGAACGTCTTACTAAAACAAAAAACGCATGTGCTCTGGCTCTTTGACAAAAACCTTTCCAGTACCCGAGTGTTGACGTTAACGGGCGAGTATCTCTCAAACAGGAGCTAATTATCGAGTTTCCCCTATTACGAGCAAAAATTCTATATGCATTTGGCCTCGTGAACACTTTTAATACATTTTGTCTATTCTATGCTTTCAAACAACTATTTGTAAGCTACAAAAAGCTCCTGAATTGTCTTTCATGTGTTTTTTTTTTGTGTAAATTCGTTAGTGTGGGGATATATGTACCTATAAAAAAATTTTTATTTTTATTGACAACTTTTCACCAACAATTTTTTTTAATTTAAGCAATGCTTATGATGTTTTTATAATAATTAAAGACGAGCAAAACTTTTAATGGAAAGCAAAGCATGTGATTATTTCGGGGGGGGACGTTATTTTTAACAAAGGGGAGATAATTATTGAGTTTCCCCTATTATTAACAAACGGATCAGTTTAATTTTCTATGGCAAAGTCATTAGTTGAAAAACTGGCATGCCTGCTTTTGAACAAATGACTTTGTCACAGAAATGTCGTTATTTACACGAGCAAATGAACTTTGCAAAAGACATCTTTGCCACAGAAACTTTGTTCGTTTAAATTACACTTTACAAATAGAGGGCTCTGGTGTAATATGCAAATATGATGAAAATTAATAATTAACAGTTAATGGCAAGTAATATAAAGAGCCTGGGCACAAGTTGCTCTATCTTATCTGAAACAACCTTAAAAACTTAGTTTACTTCGCTTCTTCAACTACATTCACCACAAATTTTTACGGTAAGTTTGTAGATTAATGGCGTACATGCGTAGCACATTTGTTGTTCCAATCAATGTAGAAATCTGACATAAAACTCAAATCTTTTATAGTAAAATGCCAAAAAAAGTTTCAAGAAGAGGACGGTAAGCATTCAGTCATTATTGAAACCACGTCCATAAATATCGAAGGACTAACTGCGCCATTGCTGACAACCCGTCATATTGCGTAGCAAGTGTAATTTCGGAACCTGGCAAAATTATTGTTAATAATTTACTGTATGTGATGAAATACTGATAATAAGTTTTTCGCATTTCCTTCGTTTTATTGCCTTATAACTCTTCAGGTCGACAACATATGTAGTCGAATCGTAATAACAAATATTTTAAATAATTAAATTAATCTTAATGCTACATTTAATGCAATTCTGATGAAAATATCATTTGCTAAACTTTATGTTAAGTGAAAACTTGGTAATTTTGGTGCGTATGCCGCCCAAATTGATGATTTTATTGGCATTTATGAATCATGAAACATATTACTGTAATGGATAAAGCATTTACAAAAAGATGGAGATATATGACATAAAACTTAGTATTTCTTCCTACAATGCACATACTTTTTATAAAACCTAAAATGTCAAATTGACATTGTAGTTAAGAATACAACCACTAATTTCTGGTAAAAGATATATTGTGCTTTTCAATAAATGGCATGAAATTATAATGTTGTGTCAAATTGTGAAGCTTAAGTACATTATAAGCAAAAAGAAGTTGACATTGATACATGCTTTGATGTAGAAAAGGGTAGTTAATTCTTCATGGCTTACTAACAACTAACCAAGCAATAGACAATGCTTCAGGTGCGGCTAATGATATTTCTTTATTTTTTACTGATACTAGTATCAGTGGCATATCTAGCAAAAATTTTTTGGTCAGGTATTGCATACAAAGACCCATGCCATACAAAATCATGATTTTCAATCATACATAAAGTAAGACATAAGTACTTTATTGAAGTTTAATTTACAAATTTTAAATTAGAAACAAAAATTATAAAGGTTTCTAAGAAGTCAAAATAAAAAATTACTGTCTTAGCTTTAGATCTCAACTTTATAATAAAACCATAACATAGAAATACAACAACAAACATTCTGATATACATATACAGGTAAAGATTAAAAGAGAATTCAATTTTTGAACAGTAGCAATATTTCATCATCCCATCCTTAATGGATTTAAAATTAAAACATTTATAAATCTTGAAACATTTGCAAACCTTTCAAAATAACTTGCTTGATCTACACATTTACAATCATGCATCATCAAAATGTGGGAATTTAGTCCACTACAGTAATAACATTATCCTTTGGATTTTCTTGTAAAAGGACAAAAAGCACAAATAACGTGCAAAAAGTCTTGACAGGTGAACTTAAGATGCAGGTTTATTCAACAGACTCAGCCTGTGAGCCAAGAAGGAAATAAAAAGGAAAATGTTATTTTTTAATACAATGCTATACCACTATTTAAATGAGCAGACATAAGGACAATATCAAATGTTATTACAATAATATATCAACTCAGCTGTTTCTGTCAAAACTAACATGCACAAATCAAAGCTGTCATTAAGCGGCAACACCTTTAAATAGGACAAATACAACCAAATTATTCTTTGGCGGCTGCTTCAGTCAACTCCAAGTAACTAAAAAAACTACAATTATCCATCACATATAAAAACTCCTTGTATCATCATGTTTAAACCATCAATTAATTTATTTCAAAAGGTGGGAAAGATTCCAGTTAACTGTCCATAATTTTCAAATAATCATATAAGCCAAGCAACCACATTTTGAGAAAGTGAAACTTGCATAATATCAAGAAATCCACAAAACTTGCCTTTATGAAAGCTGTCATAAGACTCATCATGCACTTTGTATGCAAACTCTTGTCCAGACTGTAAATTGAATCAGCATTTTTATCATGATATCATACCCTTTCATTATAAGCTTAAACCACTGATATGTATATTACACTGGACAACGCACCATGTATAAAATCATAGATAAAACAAACATAGATTGGTAACGTGTATACAATTTATACGTTGCCTGCCGTAGCTAATTGAATATTCCAAGATGGCGGCTCAATCGGGCAAAAGGAATATAATTTCTATTACGAAAACAAGGTTGTTCGCATTTTACGTCGTTGTACCCTTTCCATCCTAAATCTAGCCACCTTTTTGGAAATGGGAAGACATTGCGGAGTTTTGGGATGTAAACGTGGATGCATCAAAGGAATAACACGACAAATATCGCTTCGTCAAATTGTTAACGAATTGTCAGCTGAGTCCAATGATAGCAGTTTTCTTAAGTCTTGACTTATTCCAGATATTTTATGAGAAGGAAATAAGTAAAAGTTAAAAATATTGATGTGTGCTTTTGGACTTCTGATTTAATTTTTAAATGTTTGTAAATGATGATCGTCCAGGTTAATAAAGTCCTGAGAAAGACTGTTTTTGTTGTTGTTAACTGACGTTTCGACAACCTTAGCGGTAGTCATCTTCAGAGTCAAATGAGGAGTAAACGTCAGGTTAGCCGTATTTGTTATCTGGTCTTACGTCATTGTATTGTGTGTACAGGAAATGTGTATTGTCATTGTGGATTAGTGTGAAGTGAAATATTTTATTTTTAGTTGTGATGTGTGATTTAGGTGTGAAGTTTTTAGTTGTAATGTGTGGGTGTCGTTTGTTTGTATTGTGAATAAGCGTTTTTAAGGTGCCGGTAATTGCTGTGATCTGTTCAGGGGGGTTTGTTCCAAGTTGGTAAAACCAACTTTCTAATGAAAGCCGTTGTCTATAGTCAGTACTGTAAGTGATGCATTTTGCCGAGTCCCAGTCAATGTTGTGCTTTGTGATTCGGTGATGTTCGGCAATGTGATTAGTTTTGTGTTGTTTCTTAGTAGCTCGTTTCTGCTCAGTAAGTCTTATGTTTAAGTTCCTGCCAGTTTCCCCGATATAGGAGGCGTGGCAGTCGGAGCAGTTTATTTTGTAAACTGCACCTTGTCGTTCGTTGGGTTGTTCTTTGTCCTTTATGTTCGTTAGTACTTGTCGTAACGTTGTGATTGGTTTATGTGCGACACGTATGTTGTATGGTCGTAAGATACGCGAGATAGTCTCAGACGTACCTTTGATGTAAGGTATCGTTGCTGTTGTCACTGAGTTGTTCGTTTCGTTGGGTTCGTTGGGTTTGTAAGTGTTGCGTTTGATAAAGTCAGAGTTATAGTTGTTTTGTCAAAACACGTTTGAGATAGTTGTTTTCGTTTTGTAGAGCGTCCGGTGAATCACATATAATTTGTGCACGTGATGTTAATGTTCTGATTGTGGTGGCTTTGTGTGATGTGGGGTTGTAAGATGATTGGTCTAGTAGTCGGTCAGTATGTGTTGGCTTGCGATAAACTGTTGTTCCTAGTTTTGATTGTCATGTTTTACCAAACAGTCGAGAAAAGGAAGAGTTTCGTTTACTTCGACATCTTTAGTAAATTGTATGTGGCTGTTCTTTTTGTTGATGTGAGTATGGAAGTCATCAATCTCGTCTGCATGTAGTGCTGTGATTGTGTCATCTACGTAGCGAAACCAAAAAGGTAGTGCATGTTTGTAAGTCATGAGCGCCCGTTCCTCTATAGATTGCATTACAATTTCAGCAACTACAACAGAAACGGGCGAGCCCATTGCTCTCCCATGTAATTGTTTGTAGTGTGTTCCTTTGTATTGGAAGTAAGTCGAGATGAGGCAGAGCTCCAGTAACTCCATAATGTCTTCTGTCGGCAATGGCAGTACGTCCGTGGTGTTTGTAATGAAGGTTTTTGTACAAGTAAGTGCCAGATTAAGTAGAATACTGGTGAACAGTGATTTCACATCAAAAGACACTAGTATATAGTTGTCCGGTATTTGTATAGTGCGCAGTTTTTTAATGAAAGTTTCAGTGGATTGTAGCTTGTGTTTTGATTTGTTTGTAAGTGGTTGCAGTATGTTAGTCAACTACTTTGAAAGTTCGTAAGTAGGCGAACCACAGAATGATACAATTGGTCGCATGGGTATTTGTAGTTTGTGAAGTTTTGGTAGTCCGTATAGTCTGGGTGGTCGTGGTACTGAACATCTGAGTCGATAGTAAATACGTTCAGATATGTTAGATTTTCTCATAGAAGACCTTGCTGTTAAGTTTGCGTACTAGTGATGGTGTTGGGTCTCGTTTGAGTTGTTCGTACGTTTGTCTGTCGTTAACAAGGGTGTCCATTTTGTTAAAGTAATCATTCCTGTCCATGACCACTGTCACGCGTCCTTTGTCTGCTGGTAAAATGACGATGTTGTTGTCGTGTTTTAGTCGTTCGAGTGCTTGTTGTTCGTCTTTTGTCAAGTTGTTGTCACGTATAGAGGACGATTGTAAAGTGGAAGCTATCCTGCTTCTGATCTCGTCTTTGGTTGTCTCTGACAAGTCTCTTTGATACGCTAGGACAGCCTCGACACTTGATACTATCGTCTCAGTCGGGATTTGTCTAGGTGTTATGGAATGTTTTAGTCCGTAAGATAGTAGTCGCGTTTCAGTTTCGTCTAATGAGCGGGAAGAAATATTCCGCACCCAATTATCGTCATGTTCAGCAAGAACGACATATGAAGTTACCTTCGTTAATTAACAATATAGCCCGGGAAAAGGGTTAGATGGCCAAAATTATAAATGTAATAGTTGTTCCAGACCAATTGGAATGAGTATGATCAGTCAATTCTCGATTTGTTATTTCCATAATAACTCAAATATATTTATTTTCAAATATCTTAGCTTATTAAATCTTATCTTTGTAGAAACTATTATAACAAAGCACATAATCCCTTTTTTCCATGAAGCCCATGGATGCTTTCGTTCATGATGAAAGAGTCATATTGTATAAGGAGGCTCGCGTTCATCACGATTGAGTTATGAGAAAGTTACATTGTAAAAGGTAAAAAGTAAAAAACGTATAAACATGCTTACAGTTTGTTTAAATTATAATTCAAAAAGGCGGAAGTTGTTTGAACCTTTGAAGTATCCTTGGACGTTCTAGTTTCTTTTATGAGAAGAATTATTGTAAAGAAAAAGACAAATTTTTAAAACAAAAAATCCCGTTTTCGGTCCGTGCCTCCCGATACCCGTGATAGTTGAGCACTAGAGCGTCGCATGTTAACTAAGGGAACCACATAATCCTTTTTTTTTGCCATGAAGCATATGGATGGTTTGCTCGTGATACATGAGAAACAATAAATGGGAGAGTTAAATCAGAAAGATGTAAAGCTATAAAAATGGTAAAAACATGTTTAAGGTTGTCTTTAATTATAAGTGTCAGATAAAGACAGGGTCATAAAAAGTTAATTGATACATTGCTTGGTTTTTTTTTTATCAGAGGAAAACAAAAAGACAAAATTCGAAAGCAAAAAAAACCCCGTCTTCGGTCCATGCTTCCGGATACCTCCT